TTTTTTTTTTTTTTTTTTTTTGCTTTGCTTTTTTTTCTTTTTTTTTTCCGTTTTTCTTCCCCTCCCTCCCTCCTTAGCAGATTACCTGATGAGCACAAGGGTGATGCTAGGAACATTTAAAAATTCCCTAAACGTTGTCGTTTGGAGCAGAGAGAAAAATGTGGAGGATCGCCCACATCAAAACGCTTCTTCAAAGTCTGTGGCAAAAATGGTAGCACCTTCAGAATCTTAAATAGGGTTTTTGTTTTCCTTAAAAAAAAAAAAAAAAAAAATCACATACACTAAGACGATTGGAGCACCAGCGATTTCACAGTGGGAGGTAGCAAACGTGGGCACCCCCAGCCCCAAGGGGCTCCTCTCCCGCCTCCTCTGCTTCCCACCCCGGCTGCTCTCTCACCCTCTCACCTCTTTCCCAGGTGAAAAGAATAGGAACGCATCTTCTTTGTGTTTTGTTTAAATAAAATATATATAGTACTTTCTTTCCTTTTCTCCTTTTTTCATGTCTCCTCTCTAATATTGCACATCGACGCTCCCTGGCAGGGACCAGCTGCCCCTTCCCTCAAGCTGGCTGGCACCGGGGGCTCTCGCTTGGGCAGGAAGCGGGGAGGAAGGGGTGGCCGCGGAGCTGGGAGTCAGGCCACGGGGCGCAGGCGGGGCGCAGGCGGGTTGCGGGCCCAGCTGGCTCCGGCCGGCTCTTCGGTTGGTCTTTGGAGCTGTGCTGGGGTCACCCTGTTCCCTGCTACCCCCCAGCCACTTCTACTGCGCAGACATCTGGGGCCTGCCTAGGACCCCAGGCCAGGTGAGCTGCCTCTCCTGGGACAACCGTCCCTAAGTACCCTCCCTGTGCCACCGCTGCCTCCGCCTCCGCCTCCTCCTCGAGGCCTAGAGGAGCCAGGAGGTCAGAGGTCAGAGGTCAGAGGAAGCACGCAGGTCCAACTTCCAGGCGGTACTGCTTCCCTGATGAGGCAGGAGGGAGGTTGTCCACGCTGACAATGGGCAGCTGCTGGGGGTCCTGGGTCCGGAAGGTGAAGAGCGTCTGATGCCAGCGGCCATCCCGGACCTGAGGCCAGAAGGAGAAGGGGACACGTATGCCCACCATGGTCCTCATCTATCTGGTGCTGTCCCACGGATCCCCCCTCACAGTTTCTAATGGCCACGCAGGATTTAGCCTGGATTTGCCCATTAAGGTCGCTTCTACTGTTTCTATTCTTATGAGTGATGCTGTAATGACTATCCTTGTACTGAACTTTTGTGCACATTTGTAATTATGTCCATTTCCACAGAACAAATTCTAGAAGTAGATTTGCTGGATCAAAGGATAGGTTTATTTCTAAGGCTTTATCCGAGTGCATGCACACACACACACACNCACAGAACAAATTCTAGAAGTAGATTTGCTGGATCAAAGGATAGGTTTATTTCTAAGGCTTTATCCGCGTGCGTGCACACACACACACACGTAGTTAGTGAGGATGTGGGGAAACCAACATGTTCATTACCAGTTTTGGTTTTTTTGGACAACTTTTTGTCTCTCTTTTCCCCAATAACTTACCCTGTTTTAGGCATTTGAAAATAACCAAAAATGTTAAGAGAAAAAATTAGCCTGGTCAGGGTGGGGGCAGAGAGTAGAAGTACATTTTCTTACAAGCAGCTTTGCAAATAAATACCGCATCTACCAGCCAGTAAAATTTTTACCAGCCCAGATCTTCCCAGAAAGTTCCCAGAGAGGAAAGTGAATAAAAGCAATTTTATAAAACTGTTATAAAATTATTACACATATGTAAAAATTATAGTGTAAAATTGTTATATACAATTTTATAATAAAAACACATTTTTCCACTTGTCTGTGCTTGAGGGGCCTGTGGGGGCTCCAAGAGTTACCTTGCAGCCATCCATTGACACTTCAGGCCTGAACTGACCCCCAGCTTCAAAGACCTGCCCGTTCCAGGCCCGGAAACGAACGGCCTGCTTGGCTGGGGCCTGCCCGGGGCCCTCCTGCCATACGGTCATGTTAAGGCAGTGGATGGTGATATGCTGTGTCACCTCAGAGCTTAGCAGGTGCAGAAAATTCATCTGGACCCGGCTGACGGCAAACTCGACCTGCGGAGGAGACACAGCCGTGGGCTTGGGTCAGGTCTGGCTTGGGTGCTCACAGCTCTCAGAGGACACAGAGATAAGCTCTCTCCTGGTAACATTTCCCAGCCACGCTCCCAGATGTGTGCCCACTTCAAAGACAGGGAAATTGAGGTCTGCGTGAGCTGGTCCACAGCCAGGGAGCAACAAGGAAGGGAAAGAAAGAACCAAGGCCAGAGTCAGAGCTGCGAGGGTCCTGAGATAATCTTACCCACACACCCACACCATTGTGGGGGGCAGGGTCTTTGGAGCTGAGCTGGGATCCAGAGGCCCAGAGAGGAGGAGGGTCTTGCCCAAGACTGAGAGGCTCTGGGAGTACAGAGCAAATGAGAAGTGCCCTTCCTATCCTTTCTAAGTCCAATATCCCTGTGGGGGGGGATGGGGTGGAAATGCCAGACCTGACAACAAACAATAGGGCAGGATTAATGGCTTCAGTGGCTCTAGTGTGAGCCCTGACAGTTGGGGTTTCTCTAGGTTTGTAATGCGAGTGCCTGGCTTAAGCTTTGATGCCATCCACGTCAGAGGCGGCCACCTCTGATCACCACGCAGCCAGCAACAGGACCAGATAAAGAGCCAGACTACCTCCCCCTACTGAGGCTCCTCTGTTTTAGAGTCTTGGTTGCTTTTAGTAACTGACCATCTGGGCCACGTGTCCTTTCTCTTCTTGTGCTTTCAATCCCCACTGTTATGTTTGAATTCATCAACAGCACGAGCCCACAGACCCCCAAGCTCCTGGGACCTCCCTGTGTGGCCCCAGGTGTGCTATGTAATTTCCACTCTTATGAGTAATAAATCTTTATTTTTGCCAAAGGTTTCCTGATAGTTATTGCCAAAGGGCATCTTGCAATCATAATAAAAACCATGAGAGCCAGTCCAAGCACAACATTGATTATTGATAGAGTGAAACCGGCACAAAACAGTGGTTCACTGTTCCCATGGGGCTGGCGACTCCGATGGGCAGTCACACTGCCAATGGAGGTGCCAACTCTGGCCTCACCCCTCTGCCAGGTGGGTTTGCCACGTGGCTCCCAAACCTCAGAGTGAGAGGGGAAAGAGCCTGCTGGACCTGGAGCTCTGGCTGTGGGGGCCGTGCGAGGCTGCTGTGTTTCATGTTGAATCTCAGCACCTGGCACATGGTAGGGACTCAATCTGTTGACCAGCTGGCTCGCCTAGAGATTCTCAAACTTTGGGTCTGAGATGGTCAGCACAAAGCACCTCCTGGAGCTCTCCCATAAGGGCTGCTGGGAAGGGATGCAAGGTGCTCCGGGTCCCTGCCTCCCTGCAGTCAGAGCTGCTCTTCTCACCGTAGCTCGAATATTCCATGTGCAGGACTCACTGCAAGTGCAGGTTACGGTGCACTTGCCCTGGGCGGGGGAGTGGTCACACCCCACTGCCACCGCCTGCCTTGGCTTGTTGTCGAGTTGCCCTGAGCCACCTAAAATTCTCAGCTCAGAGATGGGCACCTGGTAAGTGGGCAGTGAACATTCACTTAATATTTGCACACGCTTCTGGTGGCTTGTCCCAGGGGAGCGGCACCCTGAATTATTTTGTACTGGTGGCTCATGGTTCTCGAAGCCAGGCCAGCCTGGCCAACGATGCTGTTTTAAGTATTAGGCAGAAAGTTCTATCTGAAGAAAGATTCATTGGCATCAGACAAGTCAAAGAGGTTTGGATTTAGAACAATTCATCCCCAACTTATAGATGAAGAAACTGAGGTTCAGAAATAAGAGAGGACTTCCCCAAGGCCATGCAGCCAGACCAAAATCTGGGTGGGCTGTGGCCCAGGGCAGGGTGGAGGTAGAGAGGGCCAGCCAGTGGGAGGCAGGGAGCAGCTGGGTACCTTGGAGGCCGTGATGGGCTTGAGACAGGTCTGTCCACCATGCGTGAAGTTGCAGGAGACTTCGATGGTGTCGGACGAGCAGCCAAGGTTTGGATCCACCCAGTAGGTGCCTGCAGGAAGCAATGGGGTGGTGTATGTATGTGGGGAGGAGCCCAGCATCTGGTTCTGCAGGTGGGCTCCAAACCTTGTGACCCCTGAGCCCCGGTTGGATATGAGGTCAGGGAGGGGGAGCGGAAAAGGGATTCTGTGAGCCACAGGTCTCTGAGCAGAGCTCGCATCCGGCAGAGCTCCTGGAGCGGCACGCAGCTGAGCCCGTGACCTGTGGCTATTGGGAAATGTTCATTTCCCATAGGGGACAACTGAGGTGGAGAGGCTGAGCCACCTGCCCAGGGGCTTTAGGGGTGAGCTCGTGGAATGGTTTCTCCACCGAGGGGAATGATCCTCCTCAGGCAGGCGGGGGCGAGTGGGAGTCAGGGCCCCCACCCCCTCTGCTGGCATCTGGTTTCCCCACTGGGCTTCCAAGGGAGCCAAAGGCACTGAGCTGAGAGGAAGACAACCGGCCACTAGCTGCCTTCTCGTTCAGGGAAGGGCAGGGCGGCTCTGGCGGTGAGGCGGCTGGCCCAGCTCACAGGGCTGACACTCGCGTCGGGTCTGTCGCCTCCAGCGCTGGGCTGTGGTCCTTCACGGGCCACATTAGCTCACACAGGGAGAAGAGTTGGATGCGGTGCACGGCCCCCTCCTGCCCCTGTCCTCTCCTGGCCCTCAGGGGCCTTTTCTACCAAAGCTCTTGTCCTGTTGCACTGAAACCGCTGTCCCCAGCTTGATCTGTGGGCTCGGGAAGGGTGGAACCCTCCTTGGTGTTTCCCACTATACCCCACCCCCAGGCAGCACAAGGCCTGGCACTGGGGCTCAGTGACTGTCGGTTGAGTGAATAAATGACTGACCATGTGCTATCTCTCTGAGGACAGAAACCTGCCCCCCACCCCCCCGGCGCAGGAAGCCCTCTCCTCAGAGCCACAGGCCCTCGTACCATCTGCCATCTTCTGCTCACAGTCCATGAGGTCCCGGCAGACCCGGGCGGGGTTCTCTTTGGTGCCCAGGGGCGTCTTAATGCTCTGAATGAGGTTGCTGAGGTAGTGTAAGGTTTTAAAGATCTCCCCTCCCTGGTCCAGCACCAGCCGGTCCGGATGGCTGTAAACCTGTTGTGAGGAGAGAGGATGGCCATCGGCCCCTTGAGGTCCTGGCTCAGCCCGAGGTCTGAGCCTCCACAGGCCCAGGTTCTCAATACTTGGGGGACATCTGAGTCCCCAGGGGCATGGTCGGGACAGGGGTTGGGTCTACTCTACTTAAAGAGACTGGGGTCCAGAGATGGCCGGGGGGGTGCTGCCATGGGGGCCTAGAGACGTGAGAGGAGCGGAGGGCAGCTGGAGTGTGGTGCAGGGTGGGCAGGCCTCCGTGAGCAAGGCAGACGGGGGTGCAGGACACTGGGGAATGGCCCCAACCCCTTCCAGAGGGGCTGGTGGAGGTCCTTCCCCGACCCCCCACCCCTCCATGCTGCCCTTGCCCCAGGGTTGCGAGCCCTGAGAGAGCAGACTGGGCATCAGCTCTCCCAGCATCCAGGTCAGGGGACAAATGGAAATGCATGGAGGTCTGAGCTGGGGTGAGGGGTGAGTTCCCCATCTTGGGAAGAGAGCAAAGCAGCAAAGGACACTTTTGACAGGGGTTCAACTAGAGGACACCAAGAGCCTCCTTGGCCTGGAGTCTTAGAGTCGAGTTGACCACAGGCCAGGGTCTTAGCAGAGCCCCCTGGGATGACCATGAGCCTCCTGCTCCTGGGGGACTGTGGGACTGAACCATGGGAAGCTGCCGTGGGCACTGGGCCAGGCAAGCATCTCTTCCTGACTCAGGCCAGCAAGAACTCTGACACCCTCAGAGGGCTTTGGAAGAAAGCAAAAGCGCTCAGGGACTGGCTGCGTGACCTTGGACGTGTTGCCGTCTACTCTGAGCCTCCGCAACAACCTTCCCCCATCTGTGGTTGTGAGATGCCACCAAGGGCTATGAAATGCTCGGTGCGGGTCACGTGGATGGGGGCACTGACCACATGCGGGCCATTATTTCTGTTTTCCCCAGGAAAGAATCCCACGTGGGCAGGACTCCTGGCAGTACCTCTGCTCTCAGTGCTCCATTAGTGTCCATCCACGTCTGGAAAGCTGCCCCAAGGTCATCTTGCTGCTGTGCAGGGAGAAGACAGGGTGTGCATTCTGGACCCCCAAACCCACCAAGCAGGAGCCCCGGGGTCTAAGCATCCGCTCTCCCACCCCACCTTCCCCAGCGGGATCTTGGCTGAGTCACATGCCCTCGGCAGACCTCTGTCCTTCCTCCCCTAGCAAACAGAGCCAGAGCTGGCCCTTCTACTCCCTCCTCTGGGCACTTGGATAGCTCAGTGCCCTCAGGATTAAGTCCAAACTCCTCAGCATGGTTACAAGACACCGCCTGAGTGCTGTGGTCTCCGGACCTCCTCTCTCCTCTCCCCTCTCTCCCACATCTATTCTGTATACAACACACTACCATACTTCTTAAGCTCCTAAGTGCCATGCTCTCCCTAGCCATGGGGCCTTTGTACATGCTTTCTGATCCCTGGAACACTCTTCCACCCTCCAGTACTCCATCTGGCTAACTGCTATTCCAGTGGTTCTCAGCCAAGGGCGATGTTGCCCCCCACTGGACATTTGATAATACCTGGAGACAGTTTTGGCTGTCACAGCGGGAGAAGGGGGTGCTACTGGCATCTAGTGGGTAAAAGCCAGGGATGCTGCTAAACATCCTATAACATGCAGGACGGTCACTCCCAGCAAACAGTCATCTAGACGCAAATGTCAGTAGTCCTGCCCTACACTCACCCGACAGATGTCAGCTGCAGGGGGAACTCATTCCTAGTGCCCCTGCCCCCAGGCTGGGCGCGGCCCCCTTTCTCTCTATTCCCACAGTCCTTGGTCTCTCCTTTGGCTTGCACTGCAATTGTCTAACATACACTTGGACCTCCGATCCTTGCCCTGGGCTTGCCAGCAGCACAGCTGTGGTCTTGCCGTGAAAACAGCGAGGGGCAGAATCTGACAGTGAGTGAAGCCCAGGATTGGGGTCCGGAGCTGGGACTCTGGAGCTAGTACTTCTCAAGTTCAAATCCCAGCCTTGCTACTTACTAACTGCACAATCTAGGGCAAGTTGTTTAACCTCTCTGCCTCATTTCTCTCATCTTGAATTGTTGAGAGGAATAAATGACTTAATCCATGAAAAGCAGTTCTAATGGTGTCTGGCACTCAATCGATTAGGTTAGTATTAAAAATTCAAAATCTTCCCATTTTCCATTTTTTAGAGGGAAAGGGTTTTTCCTGGATCTCTTCACTTTCTCTGAGCTGGCTGCCTTATTGATGGGAAGGATTGGGGGAAGGGCACCCGGAGAGGCCAGGGCCGTTATCCCATTTTTGTGGAAGATGCAGGAGGGCCAGTGAGAAGCTGAGATGCAAAAGATCAGAGGTTCCAAGCGGCTCATGGCCCAAGGGTTCCCGCTCCTTTCAGTCTTTCCCCTCGGCTGCTTCCTGGGATCTGCCGGGGCCTGATTCTAACAGTCAATCAGCGTGGTGGTAAAATGAGGAAGGACTCATCAGAGGGCTTGGGAGGGACCATGCTTTCCGACAGGGCCCCCAATCTGCTCCCTCTTTGGACTCAGAATCTGATAAGGAAGAATCCTCAGCAGCCAGCAGATCTGTACCGTGTACTGACAGGACCCAGGGGCCTGGCAGTTGGAGTGTCTTCGTGGGGTCACAGTCAGGGGCACATCCCAGCTAAAATCTGGGTTCCCTGCCTCCTGGCCCAGGGATCTTTCTGGGGCTTCAGGGTCCAGAGTCCAATATGGAGTGACAAAAGGACATAGGCACCCCCAGGCCCAGCTTAGGGTTCTAGCCACTGTGGCCAGAGAGAGGTCAGCTGCCAAACTACCCCATCCCCAGGCCTTACCCAAGTAGCCAAAAGAGCGTGCTCTCCAACTTACCAAGTGGATAGGTCTCCCTGGAGGGCCCTGCAAAAGAAGAGGCTAGGTCAGGATTTGATGAGGGTTGGGTGCTGGAGTCCAGGGACTGTCAGGAGATGAGAGAAGAGGGGCTATCAGGGCATGAGAGACCCCCCCCCCAAGCTGGTGTCTGCTCTCCCGGAGGCCTGGCCCCACTGGGCTGGTCTACATTCTCCCAAAAGTCTGCAGTTCAAGAGGCTGGCGAGTCCTATGAGGTCAGGGCCAAGACAAACCCTTGGGTCTCATTCAAAGGCACCTCACCTCCTGCCCCAGAATTCAATGGGCACTGAGCATGTGGTTACCTACCGGTGGGCCAGGTCGCCCTCTGGGGCCGGGAGGACCCTGGAGGAAGAAGAGGACAGTGAGGCCCTGGTCGCACGCCTCCCATCTTCCCCCAGGCCTCCCGGAGCAGACCCAAGACCCAGGGACAATGGCGACCCCGGCACAGATGGGTACAGACAGGATGACAGGGTCCAGGAATCAGAGTGCCTGCCCAGTCCCCCGCCCCCACCCAGCCCTCACACCCCAGCCCACTCACCCTCGGACCTTGCAATCCCTGGATGGAGACAGAAGCAGAGAGAGGGTTAGGCGACCCGGGCTGAGCTGTGCTCACACCCCTCAAAGTTCCCCCCTCCCACACCTCAGCAGCGCTGCCCCCAGCCCATCCACTCACCAAGTTCCCTTGACTGCCTTTGTCGCCTTTCGGACCCTGCAATAAACCACGGCCCCGTGAGCGAGGGCTCAGAGGGAAGCCCCATTTCCCAGGCCGGGAAACAGAGGCTCAAGCCAGCCCTGGGTCCCAGAGGCGATCTGCAACCAGGAAGGCGAGGGGAACCAGCAGTCTCTGGCCAACCTCCTGCACATACCGGGCGTCCTGAAGGTCCCAAGATCCCGAGGGGCCCGATGATGCCTTCCTTTCCCTAAAAGAGAGAGAAAAGCTTATGTGTTCTTGTCCCAGGGACTGGGGAATAGTTACAAGGACAGGGGGGTAGAGGGCACCCTGAGTGTCCCAAGGGAACAGAATGGGGACCTCTTCAAGCAAGGGCCAGGCCATGCACCTCCTGAGCCCTTCCTGTGTCCTTGGGGTGAGCTACAAAAGTGGGGGGAGGGGAGCAGGTGAAAGAGGGGAGGTGGCAGCCCAGCTGGCAGGGACGGCACAGGCAAAGGTGTGGAGTGGGAGGAGAGACCGTGGGCAGAGGGGGGCTCAAGACTGAAGGAGCAGGATAATGGCATGTGTCCACCCAGCTGATGGCTGACCAGCCTTAGACCTGGGGCCACTGTCCCCACTGGGACAGAGAGGGAGGGGACTCACCATCAAGCCAGGAGGCCCCCGAGGGCCCTGGATACCTTTGAAGCCAATATCTCCAGGGGGGCCCTGCGAGAGACAGAGGAAGGCTGTCTGTGTTCGGTGGCCACTGGTAGAAGCCATAGCAGAGCCTCCGACCCCTGGGGTCTGGCCAACCTTTGGCCTCCCTGTGAAGAGAGGCCTTGCCTGAGAGGCCCCAGAATCAGTAACAAAGTCCACAATTATGAGGCATGTACCAGTGTGCAGGCTCAGGGCTGTGTGCTCTGTTTCTGGTCTTACTTGTTACAACCACCCTCTATTGTTATGTCCATTTTTTAGATGAGGAAACAGGCTTGGAGAGACCAAGTGACTCGCCTCAGGTACACAGCAGGTGAATGTGAAGCTGGGCTTACAATCCAGGTTGGCTGGAATATGAGTCCCGAGGGCAAGATGCTCATGTTCGATTCTGTTGTGTGTCAGCCCACATTGTAAGTGCTCGAGAAGTGTTTGTTGAATGAATAAATGAACAAGTAGGTAGATGGACTGGACCCCTAAGAGGAACAGTGTGGAGTGGGAATCTGTACCTTGGGTCCGAAGAGGCCAGCCATTCCTGGGAAGCCCATCTCGCCAGAGTCACCCTGTGGGGAGATCAGGATGAGATGGTGTGAGTGAGGCCAGGACAAGGGTGCCTTAGCCAGTCACCCAGGACCCTGGGCCTGCCTTCCCCCAGGGAAATCAGCCACTGTTGCATGAGATGATCGATGGGTATGTACAGCTCACAAACTAGAAACCAGGTCAGCCTGGGTTCCTGGGGCAAAGAGCCTGTGCCCTCTGTCAGATGAGAAAACAGAGGGCAGCTCAGGTATTCTAGAGGAACTCTCTAGAACACTCGGGATCTCCTGTCCCAGGTCTTCAAGGAAGAGAATGAAAGGACCCCAAAACCCTTCCCAACCTATCTCAAAAGCACTATTAAGGAGTGATCCCCTAAAAGCAGCCCCATTAGCTGAGGGTCTGCTATGTGCCAAGCATTGTGGGTGCACCATCATGTGTGCATGTCCCACATCAGCCTGGAGAAGTACAATGTGCCCTGTTCACAGATAAGAAGCGGAGGCTCAGAGAGGGCAAGAACTTGCTCAGAGTCACACAGCCATTATGTTGGGGAGTGGGCTAGATGCAAATCAGGTGGGAACAATTCCAGAGGCCTGGATTATATGGTAGGTGTATGCTTAACTTTTAAAGAAACTGCCCAGCTGTTTTCCAAAGCTGTTGTACAAATTTACATTCTTATTAGTGGAGTAGGAGAGTTCCGGTTGCTCCACATCCTTGCCAACACTTGGTATGGTCAGTCTTAAAAATTTCACCGTTCTAGCCCTGGTCAGTTGGTTAGAGCATTGTTCCGATATGCCAAGGTTGTGGGTTTGATCCCCAGTCAGGACATATATAAGAATTAACCAATGCATGCATAAATAAGTGGACCAACAAATGGATATCTCTCTAGCTAAAAAAAAAAAAATCAACAAAATATTTTTTAAATTGTATTGAGAATTTTTGCATCTATTTATGAGGCATATTGATTGGCCTGTAGTTTTCTTTCCTTGTAATGTCTTGTCTGACTTTGACATCAGGGTAGTGTTAGCCTCGCAGAATGCATTGGGACATATTCCCTTCTCTTCAATTTTCTGGAAGCGTTTATGAACACTTGGTATTATTTTTTCCATAAATGTTTACTAGAATTCACCAGTGAAGTCCTCTGGGCCCAGAGTTTTCTTTGTGGGAAGCTTTTAAATTACAGATTCAATGTCTTTAATGGATGTGAGGCTATTTATCTGGTCGTGATCCACCTCTCTGCATGCCAAAAGGCTCAGCTCTAATTTTCAGCCTCCTCCCACCCGCTCCACTCAGGGGGTACAGAATGGCATCTGGTGCCCAGAAAGTGCTGCTCTGCCCTTGTCACAGAGCAGGCAGGTGGCTTCTGGGTCTGTGTGTGTGCATACGTGAACGTGAGTATTTGTGTGCACATGTGAACGCGCTCACATGTGTATTTCCCGGGGTTCACTCACCGGCTGGCCTTTGGATCCAGGCTCCCCCTGGCTCCCGGGAAGCCCTGTTCCGCCCTCTGTCCCTCGCTTACCGGAGGGACCCAGCTGCCCAGGTAATCCTCTTTCACCCTTTAAGAAACAGGCCAAAATGACTGGTCAGGGGGGTAAATGGCTCTAGGGCACAGGGAGGGGGACCTAGGAAAGACAGAACAGGGATTCCACAGGGTCAGTTGAGATCTCAGATATAGGCCTGGTGGGTCCTCCACACTTCATCCCCCCTAAGAGGAAGCCAGTCCCCTTCCCTACTCTGGCGTTCGGGCCTCCCTTCCCCTGCACTCCCCACACGGCCTCTCCTCTTTCCTGTTTCTTCCCAGCAGACGATGAAGCTCCCGCCTGCACCCCTCTACTCACGCTGTCCCTCCAGCGAGAAAACCACCTCCCTTTCCTCATTTAAATCCGTCTTGGGCCAAGGCCACTCTCCCCCGCCTGCTGTCCTACCCGAGGTTCCAACCTCTCGCCATCTAAACCTCGGGCTCAGGAAGGGCAAGAGCCATGTCTGACTCACTCATCTCAATCTTCCTTCAGTATCTAGGCTCATGCTGACTCATGGCTGCCTCTCCCCGCCCAGACACACACACCCCTCCATCCCTCAAGGAAGCCTTTTAAAAAGATGCCTTGGGGGGGG